TTGCAAGTTTCAAAAGTTCACAGGTTTTAATGAAAATTGATACAAAAAATTATTTATTTCATTAAAACAAATACAATTTTAATGAAAATGTATCTTTCATTTACAAACTGTTTCTTGGTAGTTGGAGGGAACCGAAAAAAGTTTAGATTATGTCAGTTTCGAAAACTCAGACTGAGTACTGAATTGGCTGAAAATTGGGAGCTGTGTCATTTTTATCAGCGTTCTTTGCTGTACTGCAAAAAAAAAATAATAGAAAAACAACTTGGGATTCATTTTTGAGAAAATTTTGTAAGTAACCTAGAGACTACATGAAAACTATCCGCAAAAACTGACAGATCTTTTTCAAATTTAATGTGCCCCAGTGAGATCAGTGTGATCGATTGCGGAATATCCATTGTTAGGACAATCCATTGTACGGTTTAGGTGCTAGAGTTGTTCAGACAGACAGACGTTCATAGAGAAGTCACTTTTTCACCATCAAAGATGCACAAAACGTGGATTCTGACGACACTGAGTGAAACACATGAACAAGTGAAACAAGTGAAACTAATTTGCTACCTATAGGAGCCAGAAAAATATATTTTGTCGGTACCGATGACCCACAAAACTTGTTTTTTAGTGTACGAATTTCAGCGTCGTGCGATTTTTCGCTTACATAAAGTCTGTCTGCTTAAATGGGATTGATTGAAAACGCTAATTCCGAATATTGTAATTCGTCGACTGTTGCAATTCCGAAGATTGTAATTAATTGACTGTGACTGCAAACGATGAATTATAGACCGGAAGGCAAAAATGTGCACAAAAGTAGGCTTGGGCATAGCCTCTGAAATTTAAATATCTAGTTCCACGAATTTAATAATTTATATTTTTATTACCGTTCATCAGTGCTTTTTACCAGTATTGCCCGACGAATCTAGTTATTCGATAGGCGAGGGAGAATCGCATTTCGTTTCAGTACTGTTTCGAGAGAGAATATTAAATAAATCACGTGAGTCCATACCATTTTTTGACTTCATGCACCCTACAATATAAATTGTCACGTATGGTGATCTGATAATATCACGTATGCAGATCTTTCTCAATGGGAAATAAACGCAAAATTTCGAATCACTCGAATTTTGAACCCAGGGGCTGAGCTGAAAGATATATCGAAATAACGATGTATTTGTAACTTTTCCAATCACAGAATCCCAATGTCTTGCGGCACATTGGTTGCGAAGAATTCGACACAGATTTCAACCCGGCGCTGCCGTCCATCCCCAACGTCATTGCGGCTACTACCACCATCGTCAACTCAGTTCGACAGCCACCTTCTCGTGTTCAGGTACAGGCGGCCGCTGGCGGTTTGCGGAAATGGAGCATTGAGTTGAAAACAAAATAATTTAAGGAATATATATGCGTTTCAAATTCAACCTACACACCATTACAGGGAAACTATGAATTAATAAACGGCTATATTGGTGATTTCATTAGATACGCTGTAATTTAGTATTTACTAGGCTGTCCGGGTGACGCCGCGTCCATGGCGAAGGTCCATGGCACCTACGCTCTCACGCTGTAATTTGTCAATGACATTCTCGGCTGGATGTAGCTACAAATATATCTAGAAAAGAATTGTCATCGCTAGACGCGCGGGATTGGGAATCATTGGCCTACTGTACTTCGGCGCGGTGTTTGCTGTTTATTCCGCCGCCGCCACGACGCCGCCCCGACGCGCGTCGCCCCCGAGCCGCCCCGACGCCGCCCGCCGACGCCGCCCCGACGCCGCCCCCGAGCCGCGCCCGACGCGCCTCCGAGGGCCGCCCCGGACGCCGCCCCGACGCGCCCCGACGCCGCCCCGACGGCCGCCGCCGACGCCGCCCCGGACGCCGTTCCGCACGCGCCCCTAACGCTCGCCGCCTGCGGTCACCGTCCCCGTCGCCGCCCCTGATGCCAGCGCCGCAACGCCGGTCTATCTCCATCACCTCCTCCTCCTCCTGGTTTCGTAACGGGCGGGCGGGCGGGGCGGGCGGCCTGCGGCCGGCGGCGTCGCGGCGGACGGGCGGGCCGGCGCGCGCGGAGCCCCAGAGAAGCCCGCTAAATCCGTCCAGCTGTGTACACTGTCTACACTCCGGCGCGGCTGTCGTCACTGACCATGCGTCAACGTTGCAGGTCACCCGCAGCGTCGGCAACCTAAAAATACAACCAGCTAGGGGGGCAGGCGCGGCCCCCGGCGCCGTGGACACCCCTGGCGGCGGAGGAAGCGGGCGAGGGAGGCGGACGCGGAGGCGGCAGCGGAGGCGGCCGAGGGGAGGGAGGTGGACGAGGGGCGGTGGAAGCGGTGGAGAGGGCGTGGGCGACCGGGGCCATATCAAAATATTCTGTTCACTCGCGAATCTAGCCGTTCATCTGCATCAAAGATTCTAACAACTTTGTTCACCCTTCACGCATTGCGAGACGTGTAATTTACCTCCCACGACATTTACCGAAATGATGAATTTTTCATATCATTAAATATCTAAAATTACTAGAACATTTTCAATTCATTAGAAAAATGTTTCATATTTATTTAGAAATTCTTTCATGTCCTTGTAATAATTTTCTAATTTTAATGATGATTACTTTTAGTGTTGGCGAACAAGAGTACAGAAATATCATTTCCCTTTCGTGTGTTATTTTAAAAAAAGATAATTTTTAATTCAGATGGGGTGGTAGCGATATGCCGACCGTGGTTATATGATAACACCTGTGCATTATGATAACATCGTGCACTCTAGCCCACATCTAGCGCATAGGGGTTGTCATCGCAGTTGCCTTTTCATGTACACCTAAGTAGTAAGTTCGGCCGCATGTCACTTCTCGACTTGAAATACTGTTATCTACGTGAACTAAATTTCATAATGGTTTGGCTTTCGGTGAAAAGAAATGTTCGTTAACGTTGACGGACGCAGCTGTGACAGACACAATATTGACAACACAACTTCCAGAAAAGTGCTTAAGTTACACACAATTTGCGATGGCTGTGTTGCTAAACTTTAAGTTGTCTATGAAAATGAGATATTCGAAGTTCAGATTATTTCCGGATTTGAATATTACAGGTGTAAGAGTTGATGTGAGGAAAGAGACAGGAATAATGGTAATTGTGTAAAGAATGCCCATGACGGTACTTATAATGAGTGGAGTAGCGGTGCTACGAATAGTGGGGGTACGATGATGGTGGTGCGTGATATGCGTCGTAGCAGAAGCAGTAATTGTGATAGAGGTGAAAGGGTTATGCTGATGGCTGCGATATGAAGTACAGAAGCACTGATGGTGATGGGGTCGGTGGTAATGGTACTAGTGGTGACGGGGGGAGCGATGAAAACGGTAATGGCAGTAAAAGGGTGAATGGAAACGGTGCTAATGGTTAGGGGGTCTGAAAACGGTAGTGATGTTAATGGAGGTACTGGTGGGGGTGGTAATGTTAAAGGTGCTAGTCGAGGTGGCAGTGGTGGCGGACACAGAGATAACGGTAATGATGTAATGGTATTGGTGGTGGTGGTGGTGGTGGCGGTAATAGTAGTATGGTAGTAGTGGTGGTGGTAATGGTTGTGGTAGCGGGAGTGGTAATGGTTGTGGTAAAGGCAATAGCGGTGGTAGCGATTGTGGTGGTTGTAAATGGATTGGAGAGGAGAACGGTTGTGGTAGTGATGAGGGGGAGGGGGTTCTCCGGCCTACGGTCAGGCGTCGAGGTTGCGTCGGCGCCGTCAACGAAGCGGGTGCGAAACTCGCAGGGTGGCTGCTCGACCCACTGACCCCGGAAGCCTCGACCGCGACGAACGCTGCGGCGGCAGCAAGCCGGTCCGGGAGGGGGGGGGGAATGCGACGTGCGTGCGTGCGGAGGAAGAGTTGCATCGCGCAGGGTTTGGGCGATTGGTCGATATCTTCGGAACGGCGCGCGACACAACATTAATCCGCAGCCTTTCGTAATACACGTACCATGCTGCGCTACTTTCGGGCCCACGCAGTGTTCGCAAGTTTGACTTCCAAAGGAATCAATTAATTTTTACATGCGAGAGAAGACGTCAATGCCTCAATAGGAATACAATAAAAAAAGGCATGAATTGTATCTCTTATGCTATAAAATTGTAATGTCTATTTATTATGTTTTAATGTCCGCTTCCTACCGCTTACTTGATCTGTTCTCGTTATTCAGGAGCATTACATCATCTAAAGGTCAATGTCGTCTGTTTAGTGCTATTGCGTAAGATTTCAATTTTGGGATACGATAAACAAACATACTAAAAGCGAATACTGCCTGATATTAAAATTAAACATATCATAAACCCACGTTATGTCCCACCACAATGTATCACATTGAATGAAATATATAGTTCACTTTATCCCATCATTAAGATACGCTTCGAGTTGGATTCAACTCACAACAGCCGGGAGACACCGAGTCTGTAATATGGTAAACATAGCTCACAGAATAGTTTACTTCGCCCATAAATCACCATTCCGTCAGTCGTTCCTTTAGCAATGAAAACGTAATGAATGTAATACGCTATATTACATCATTACGTGGTTTTACCTCATTACATGTATATTACGCATTTTCGGTAATATTTTTTACAAGTAATCACGAGGAAGATAGTGGTGCAGAGGAGTCCTTTTGCCAATGAGAACGTGTTTTAAGGGGAATGTAAACAATAGCGACCTACGGTTTTTTCAAGAAATCAGTGACTCGCGTATCCAATAGAGGACAATTGGAAGTGTTTACATTGTGAAGCCATACACTCTGTAAGCCTATCATGTTTACGACATACTTAGCGTGACTACGTACTAAAGGTGAATTTGTACGATGTTTATGAGCTTCGGTATCCTATTAGAAATTACACGGCAGCTGTTAGTTCTCACTAAAAACATCTATCACCATAATGCAGGTTATACGGTATCTTTATTCTGAATACAATTAGTTTTAATCTAAATCTTTTAAAACAACCTTGGTTATACTTCATGTAAATTCTGCAAGTATTTACTTCTCGGGATTCATTTTTGCGCCCGTGGTGATTTAAAAAAAAACTTGATAACTTCAAAACCGTATTTTTCAGGAAATCTTTCATTAAATTTAACATATTGAATTTTCCATGAAGAGAATTCCCAAAATAAGTTGTCCTACAAAATAGTATTTCGAAAAAACGAGCTGGCACATCTATGAATTCCTGAAAAAAAAACAACGAAGAATATATATCTCAAAAATTGAAAATTTATTAATAAATTGTACAAAACGCTCCTAATGTCTCGGCAATCTTATAGGAGATGTTCAACAGACAACATTCAGCAAGTTATTATCAAAACATTAATTCTATCATTACCTATACATTCTACACGTTAAAAAATTTAATTCAGTTAACACGTCCCTGAAGCCAAAGTTAGAAAAATATTTCGAAATCTTACAGTTACATTCCTTTCTACAAACACCCTGTTGGGGCGGTGCCATCCTGGTGGAAGGTACCTGGTAGGGGAAAACCCCTCTAACCTACGGTAGGTCGGTGCCAGATATCGCCATCCAGCGGCGGAATCATCCGCCACCTCCTGAAGAAAAAGCATGCACTTCACTTTCGGTACTAATTACCTTAGCAGTTGACGCGCTTAGAAATACTAACAATCAATTAATCGACAAACACGATACTACTGCATGGTAAGCATGGTAAGATACTACTTATCAAACATTTTATTATGAAATAATATGAATAGTGTGCTGGATGATGAATCCTTCTACTTAATTCTGAGAATAGAATTTATTAGCGCAGATATATAAATAATAAACTATCATAGTAAAACAACAATAGATACACACAATGGTGATGATAATATGATACATGACAATAATGATAATATTGATACATCTAACGTATCAATATTTGTGGCACAGGACCAAAAATTGTATCAATATCATGTAATTTCTTTCTCTAGATGTGTAGCACAAATTATTTAAATGTTTACACAAGAGCTGAAACGTATTAATATTCGCAGATTCTAAAGAACTTGCAGACACTTTGCTAATAGCTGGAGCTACAGGAGCATGGTTAGAAACTCCAAATATAGCAATCCCATCACAGAATCAAAACAATCAGTCATGGTACGTGCAAACAATCTTCACAAATTTCTGCCAATTTCCGCTAATTCGCAAAATCATCCTTGGAAACTGCACGGCGCTCTCCCGGCATAGCCCAAGGCGACGAAAAGTCAGCCCTGAGTCGTTCTGGACGTTGCCGCGTCGTTTACGAGTTCTGTGACGGTTGCACGGAGTCACATTGTCTTTCCGTTAATGCCTTCATCGTCTTAATGGCGTGCGATCGCATTGATCGACTTTACATTCCGAAAGACCGAAAATTCAGAGAACATCCGCAAACCCGAGAAAGAGCAACCACTAAAAGGCATCAAAAGATTTGAGATACGCACAGTCTGTCTTCGATGATGCTAAAATATTGTAAGTTTCGCATAAAAAAGTTACAAAACATAAATAACCAGTTTGAAGAATAGTTACAATGTTTAGAAGTAGACTGCAATTTTGTATAAGCATGTACAACATTTTCGCTGTCAAATAATCGTTTCCCTGGACATCAACATTTTAAAATATCTTAAATTTAACTCTCGTAATACATCCTGACAATGTACTGCAAGCACGCTCGCCACAGAATATTGGTAATTGGCTATTACAAAAAATAAGATGACTTGAAATTTTCACTAAGTGCTCCCGCTTCCCGTGCATCTCTCGACATAGACCCGCCGTTTCAGATAAAAAATATCCCATCAATGAAAAAATTCCCATTCAGAGATTTTTGATAGCCAGTTTTCACGTTTCGACTCACGCAACTCGAACCCTACACGAGATGCGCCATACGTTAATTTTTAATAATTTAACATATGTAATAAAATTACAACGGCAGAAAGTATACCACAAAATGGGGTAAATGCATTATTCGTAATATTACAGAAAGTGTCCTGCAAGATGAGTTAAATGCATTATTCTGGTCATTCGTTTAAGAGATACAATGAAGGATCAAATAGCGCATGCGTTTATCAGTTAAAGTAGATAGTAATACAAAAATTGTAAGTAGGAACACGTTGCTTTTACAAAAAAATTAAAATCTATATCTTGATCAATCTGTTTCAAGTGGTCATCAACAGATATATCTTTAAAATCGAGTGATTATCGTTTGAAATAATGTTTTCAATTTCAATTTAATATTAATACCTCATTAAGTGTAATTATAGCCCCCTTTTCTTAGTTTATGTAGTGTTCACCAACAATAATATTAATGTATTGTTTGTGCTCCGGATATCTAAAAATTGATTGTAAGTACGAGTCGTGCAAGAACAGACATACGTTCTGGCATTTTTTCTACCTATTGCAATTATCGAATATTTCTTATACAATAAAAATGAGACCACCAATTTTAAGCGTTATTTGCTCTATCTGAGGAAAAAATTAAACGAAAAAATTGAACTTTTTTAATTGCATTTACGTCAAGCAGAAATTAAACAAAAACTACTCTTTTTTTCAAATATTACGTTGTCTACGTGTCCGTTTACGTAGTCCGTTTTTAAGTTCCGATTTTTAAGAACAGGCTTCATTAAGGAAAAATCTCTACCACCAATATTGATTTTCACATTTCACGCAAAATTACGCGAGAAATAGTAATACTTTTTAAACATTTTACATGACCTTATTTAAAAATCTGTCTTCCATTCATTAGGGACAAAATCTCTATCTTCAATATTGTAGTTGTAGAATGAACCAGGAAAAAGTTTGAACTTTTACCAGTCTCAAAAATTTATAGGTTTTAACGAAAATGAGACCTACCACATTTTCAAGAGTCGTTTGTGCTATTGGAAAAAAATATTTTTTTTAGAAAACTTGAAAAATGATAAGGCTTTGTGTAAAGAACATTACTCTCCGTAAAATCAAATTACCCATTTCAAACTCGCAAGCCCTCAAGCTCGTTCAGATCGATTGGGGACTATTAATTTTGGAGAAATTTGTCAGAGCGGTATAAGTGATAGCGTAGATCACAGGCAAACGGAATAGACAGATATGTGACCGCCAAAAAAAGTATCGGAATCAAGGACACTAAATGTAGATAATTTCTAACGTGTTAGAGGAAGATATTTACTACATGGAGGAACAAGATTTATGCTCTTTTCTATACCAGGGCACCACTATACAAATTTTACAAAAACTCTCATTTTGCATTCTGCTACATTCGGGAAGATTTGAGAGTTTAGTTACTTTGCCAGAAGACTATGAAATCAATTCAGGAGCTTGGGCCGATGCAAATATTTTCTAAAGCACAGGAACGAATATTTCCTGTTTTCAAATAACGCTGTCAGAACCTCATCCTCTCCCATATTATTGCAGTGGTATATATGCGTTTTACGGCTCTCACACGCCACCAATCTTCATTAATGAGGTTTCAAGAGAAAGATAAATTTCACGGTGAGGTAACGAAATTGCACTTTAAAAAAATGAAGAATTTGTCGTAAGGAAAATTCAAAAATTCATGTGAAATAAAACCCGTAACACTTGGGCGACCATGTTGAAATCTATATAGTAACATAAATCTAAAATTAAGCATTCTAAAGTCTTCAAATCTGGAATCATGAGGTCGAAGACCTGCAAGAAATGTTCCTCACTCTGTAATCTACAAGATGAGTATTTGACGTTCTATTACACTTTTGCTGCTTCAGCGCTTCTCGAAACTTCCTTGTATTGCAATTGCAATTTCTCACATTACAAAGACTAGGCTTGTACTTGCCCGATTTTGAATTTTCGCATGAATATCTTTACGTAGCTTTCTCAACAGTAAACAGGGTTTCTAATATTTGTGTGCCTATCAAAGAAAGTGTTTTTAAGGAAGTGTGATTTGTTTCAAGAATATGTGTAATACTGAATTGAAAATTTGTTTCAATAATTGCATATTTTTATTGATACTATGTTAGTACGTTGGAATTTTCATTTATACATTTTTTAAACAAATAAACACGTTTCGTTAACAACTTTCCTTCTTAATATGGAAGTGGAAGGATATGGAAAAGTGGGGTTAAACACGCGAGAGTTCTCGCACGGGTATTCTATTTATTCATATTTCAACTACAAATAATAAGAGGGAGCGGGTAAGGATTTCAGAGCTGAAGAAAACGTGCGCAAATTCTCTCGTGTAACACATAAGTCACCTACGGTTGTTTTTTTCATGTTCTTTTACGTTAAATAAATAAACCGGATAAAACCTCCGCCCACTGTATTAGAATAGCCTTTAGTCTTTGTAACATGTGCAGCCCGCAGCCAGCACAGCCTCCCGCTGCGACGCCGGATCATGAAGGGCGGGGCGCGGGGGGCCAGAGGGGCGTGGTGTAACTGGAGCGCGCGCGCGCCGACCGCAGAGGGGCCGTGTCGAGGCCGCACGCGCGTGTTCCGCGCGCCGCGCTGGCGCCCGCCCGATAAAACGGCCCGCTCGCACAATGCACGCACGCACACATGCACGCCCGTTCGCTCGTTCGCCCGCCCGCTCGCCCGCTCGCTCGCTCTCCGGCCCGCCTGGCCCGGCGATAAATCGGGGCCCTCGCCGTCCAAACATAACAAAACTGCGAGCTGTGTCTCTCAAATAGGATTTGCAAACTCTTTTGCGGCACACGCGGGCCCCGGATTCGGTTCCCGAGGTTGTTCCTGGGGCAGAAAACGCGGCGCGTGCGGTGCCAAGCGTATGCGAACCACACGACGCAGAGCTGTGCACACGCAATATTTTTGTGATCAAGGGATTATACCGGAGCGAAGAATTATGGTGCAGGCAATCGGCTTGGTTCGCGGTTGCCCAACGTGTAGAAAAGATGGAAGTCGCTCCGAACTCCAAAACGTACGCCGCAATTCCACGAAAGCATGATGGTGTTTAGGTAAAATAATTACTATTTTGTACCCTAACCGCAATCTGTCGTATTCTTTGTCACATTTAATTAATGGTCTCTCGTTTATTCGGTGCCCCTCCTACTGGCGATATACGAATCAGGTCTTCGTATCAGGTCTTCACCGCTCGAACACAATAAGCGGGAGTGTCAAATAGGATTTGCGCGTCCTTTTTGCAGCACCTTGTGCACTCACACTAAGTGATTAATGTTTCTGGATGCGTCAACTACTATGGTAATTAGTTCTGTAAGTGTAGTG